TGCATAGTTTGGCAGCCCCTTCCCTACAGGGCACCATCAGCAACAGTTGCTATCATGGCCTTGAGGACTGCCGCATGGAACTTAACATGTTTTAATTTTGCTGCTGTTAAACATTATACACTTTGCAAATTTTGCAGAATAGAATATTAAAAGAAAAAACAGGTAAGCCATTAGAATCCTAGGGTTTTTCTTTTCATTAATGATTTCAGAAAGCCAAAGGGGACCAGGGAGGGGAGAACTTGCTTTGATAGGACTCTTTGATCAGTGGAAGGGGTCTGAGAAGGAATCTAATTTTAGCGAGAACTTATTAATAATTGAAAACAGACCTCAAAATCTCTTGAGAATTTACTATATGCCAGGCCCTGTGCCAAGCACTTAACAAGTATTATCTTATTAATTTCTTACAACCATATGTGTAGAGTTACTGTTTTTCATCTTCATTTTCCAGAGAAGAAGACAGGCCTAGTGAGGGTCAGTAATTTGCCCAAGCTTGCACAGCCAGTGGATGGTAGCCGATCAGGCTGCATTACTAATCACCGTGAGGATCTACCTCTAACTGGGTGCCTGGCCCTTTACATGCATTAACTCAATTAATCTTCACAACACCCATGTATGGACATTAATATCACTGTTCCCATTTGATATAGTGAAGACGGCGTGGAATACTGGTTCTGAGCATGGACCTTGAAGCTACGGCCGCTGGGTTCGAGACCCTGCTCTTCCATTCAGCAGCTATGTGACCTTAGTTACTTAACATCCTTCTGCCTAGTTTTCTGATCTGTAAAATGGCTATAGTTATATAACTTATTTTATAGATGTTATGGAAATGAAATGAAGTTATATGTGTGTGGCACTTACGTTACCCGGTAAGTATTCTTTAAATTGTTATTATTATACAGAGAAAACTGAGGCTCAGAGAAGTTAAGCCCAGGCTACCAGCCTGACAGTGATGAAATTCTAGGAAGACAAATAGTGCCAGGGTTCATTCCCAGAGATGAACTCTAGGAAGCTGGCCTCATTTCTGTTTGGTGGTGTTGACTGCCGGATGCCGCCGTCCTGTTGAGAGGTGGCACAGTGTGTCAAAGGAGCATGGGCTTTAAGAGCCAAATGGCCTGGGAGCATGTCACTGTTGTGTCACTCACTAGTCATGTGACCTTGGGCTAGTGAGGTAGCCAGCCTGAGCCTCACGTCCTCATCTGTGATGCGTCAGTTGTCACGTTCCTCATGGGCTGTTGTGAGACTGAAAAAATTTAACTCACATATAGGAGGATTGGGGCCTGGCACGAGCTGGGTCAGTGTGTCTGCTCTGATCATGATGCTGAAGCAATAGCTCAGGGGAGAAACAGGAATTGACAGAGAATCATGTAGAGACGGTTGGGTGTGTCACCTGAATGGAGAGAGGAGAACTGGGAAGAAAATGTTAGCAGAATAAAGCCGGGGCAACAGAACTTGCCAGGGCATAGAACAAGGGTGTTGGAGGCTACCAGTCCTGGGTAAAATATTTCTGGCACAACACATTGAAGATCAGTGTGTTCATGGGTGCGGCTGTCACGAAAATAAAAAGGGAAGAAGAAAGGGAAATGTGTCATATTTCCTTTGGCAGAAACATGAGTCCAGGTTCTAATTTTTTTTTTAAACGGGGCTACTGCAGTGTTTCTCAACAGTGTGTAGGTGGTGGCAGCTCCTGGATTTCACAGTGTTTTATGTGGACAGCCATCCGCTACCATCAAGCTTTTTATGGAATGCTGTGATGTGTTGATATACTTAATCATTCCATGTAAATAAAACAGCTTTATCAGAGAAATAGGACTATACCATGAGATTGTAATATAAAGTTAGAAGCGTTAAGTCCAGGCACCCAGATGAGAAGCCATTGAGATAGCTGTTTAAATGGTTCTATTAATATTAATTAACTTGCTATCTGTACAATTGTTTTATTGATTACCTCCCACTAGCAGATAATCCAAGTGGGAACAAATATTATAAAAAGTTTAGTGGGAAAAGAAAATCCTTAAAAATGAGAAATGTCTACAAATGACCCATCCAAATTTGTTTGTTTGAGATGGAGCCTCACTTTGTCACCCAGGATGGAGTGCAGTGGCACCATCTTGGCTCACTGCAATCTCTGCCTCTTGGTTTCAAGAATTTGCCTGCCCCAGGCTTCCAAGTAGCCGGGATTATAGGAGCCTGCTGCCAGCTACCACACCCAGCTAATCTTATAAGATTTAAAAATAGATTCTATTGGCAGGACTCCATGGTCCAGTTTATGGGTGGCTAAGATTCACAAGATTCAAACAGAATTTGAGAATCAGTAGTACCAGAAACTAGTGACTGGCTTGGGCTGTCAGTGGCTAGTTTTCCTGCTCCAGCTCTCCCTTCTGCAATTATGAAGGCGATTTGCCACCCACTTTGGCTGATGGAGTCAGCATTTTATCTTGTGACCCTGTTAGTGACACATTTTGGATGACTCCCTGAATCAGAGGCCCTGGGGAATCAGTGCCACACGGGACAAACCAGGTGCCTGCTCTCATTGAGCTTGCATTCTGGTTGGAAAGGCAAACACCAAATGTATTTTTAAAAAGATAATTATAATTTTTGGAAAGCTTTGGGAAGAAAATAAACAGGGTGAGTGAGGGAGAGAAACTGGCAGGAGGAAGTGATGACTCTAGATTATAGGGTCAGGGAAAGCCTCTCTGCAGAAGAGACATTTGTTTTGAGGCCTGAAAGGAGTTCTTCATTAATGCTGAAGCAATTGATTAGCTAACTAGAAAAGAGAAACAAAACGATTTTAGGTCCTCATCTCACTCCACATACCCAAATAAATTTCACATGGATCTAAGAGTAAAAGGTAAAAACAGATAAAAAATCAACGTTCTGGAAAAAAGTATATATTTATGAGTGAGAAATAAAATTTGGAACTTAAAAGCAAATAGCAACTATATTGAAAGAATTGCACAGATGTAACTATTCTAAAATTTAGATTTCTATTCACCAAAAACAATATAAATATAATTAAAAGTCAGCATGGAAAATATATACCACAAATATGAAATGATTTAATGTACTTAATGTTTAAAATATTTATGCAAACTGTCAACAAACATTAAACCTCATTAAAAATGGACAAATATGAAGAGAGAATTCAAACAGAATGCAAAGTAGTTAACTAACATGAAAAAAACTCTGTAACTTTTCTAATATAATCAAAGATACGCCAAGTAAAATAACCTGAGTTTCCCTATCAACGCTGTAGGCAAAAAACACTCGAGGATACCAACAGTGTGGTAAAACTGGCGTTCTCACACAAGGATGGTGGATGTGAACATTTGTACAAACTTTCAGGGAGGCAGACTGGCAATACACATTAAAAACCCCTGGCTGGGTGCAGTGGCTCATGCCTGTAATCCCAGCACTTTGGGAGGCTGAGGCAGGTGAATCACCTGAGGTCAAGAGTTCGAGACAAGCCTGACCAACATGGTGAAACCCTGTCTCTACTAAAAATACAAAAAATTAGCCACGTATGGTGGTGGGTGCCTGTAATCCCAGCTACTCGGGAGGCTAGGGCAGGAGAATCACTTGAACCCAGAGGTGGAGGTTGCAGTGAGCTGAGATCGTGCCAGTGTACTCTAGCCTGAGCAACAAGAGTGAGACTCCATCTTGAAACAAACAAGCAAACAAACAAATGAACGCCAAACTAAAAATAGTCATATCTCTTTGGCCCACTTTTATAAATCTATCCTAAGATAGCAATCAGAAATGCAGTAAATAATTTATACATAGGAATATTCAGCACAGCATTGCTTTTGGCACAAAATGGCAAACAGCTGGAAAGTCCAGTATTAGAAGTGAACTCTGACATATCAAGGATAAAATACTATGCATCTTTTAGAAAAAGCAGGTATAAAATCACTCTACATAGTGTGACTACATCCATATAAAGATGCATAGGAGAAAGCGTCTAAAGAAGTATTTGAAAATGTTCGTGTTAGCTGTGGTAGCTCTGGGTGGTGATATTACAGGCAATTGTTCCCTATTTGTGTTAAAGTATTTTTAGAATTAATGTGCTACATTTATGAAAAAAAAAGAAATTTATACAACAGGCAATCAAAACAACCTTAGTAATTAGATAAAGCAGGGACTAAACTGGAAAGAAATTTGAGAAAGAGGAATATGTGAAAGATTGAAAGAATTTCTCATAGACCGAGTCTCAGACCTGAGATTTTGGGGAATGGGGTATGGGAAGATGATATTGAAAAATGGTCTTCAGCTACCATGAGGGAAGAAAAGAGGAAATATGCGTCTTTTTCCTGTCTCAAAGGAGACTTTGATTTTTATAGGTGAAGAAACATAGTGGAAGTTATTATAGAAACTAAGCCCACATTAAAAAAGAATTTCTTAAAATAGGCACCAAGAGAACTAAAATACCACCATGGATTTCCACTGGGGCATGAGAAGCGATCTGGTCTAATAACTAACAAAGGGTCTAAACATCCCTTAGGTCCTGTTCTTTGAGGCAAGAACACAAGTCTTTCTGTCTTTATTAATCTTCAGTGTGTATCTTAAGGTTTTATGGTGTTTTCACAACTACCTTTGAACAGTGGTTTAGTTAGTGCTGGTCAGTGACCTGCTTTTGTTTGCCTGTTTCTGATGAACAGTGTATAGCACAAGCCACAGCCATGTCCTTGTGCACGCTGCGTGCAAGACCCCGCTGTGCACAGTCAGCCCTGCATCCTTCTAACCAGTTAACACTGGCCTTACTTTCATCATCTGTGAGGCCAGAGCTACATAGGTTGATGCTGAGGAATGGAAGGAAGGAGAACAGAGAGTAAAGGTGGGTCGAGTTTACAGACGTGAGGGAGGGAAGGTCACAGACACTGAACAACCAGTGAGTTCCCCTATGCGGATTGCCAGAATGAGAAACATCTAAGAAGATAACAAAATTGTCTTACAAGGTAGTGGATGTCTGGGTAAGCTGTGATGCTTGCAGGATCGATACTTACAGAAAGGAGGTGCAGAGCCCACAGGAGCACTCATGAAAAGGAGGAGCAGGAAAGCAGGGTTGGTTGTTTGAATCTTCCTTCTCCCTGGCTTTCTAATGTCCGACTCCAGAAAGGAGGAGTGGAAGCGAAACGGCAGCAGATGCAGTCCTGAGCTGGTGCCCCCTTACATTCGCTGTCGTGCCTAGTAAACAGCTCTCTGAACTTTGGTACATTTGTTCTGACTGATGTCACTATCAGCTGATTTCACTTTCGTTTCTTAACTTGCCAGTGGCCCATGACTTTTCAGAAATGAGGTATGTAAACAACTTTTTATTGTCCATCATCATGAATTCTTTACCCACAACTGATTTAAAGAGCCAGGTAAATGTCTTGATTATATTACACAATGATTCCAGAAAGGGAAGTAGCCAAAGAACTCTCGAAGCTCCCAGTGATTTAAACTGCAAGATAAACACAACCCAGAATTTTGTTCAGAAGAAACTCCTCAGGATCACATGGTCCTAGCTCCCAGTCAGTGCGGCAGTCAGACCCAGGTCACCTCCTACTCATTCTCTTAGAAAGCAGCTATGCCATCTGTCCCCCCAACCCTTTCAGAGATCAGTTTTATAATGGTGACTGGGCTTCTCTGGACACAAAACTTTGTGTCCTCAGCATTCTCACTAGGGTGTTTAGGCCCATGTTGGAGCAGCTGGAACATCTATTTTATTTCAAAATAAGAGCAGAACAAAGCTTTTATTTTTGTAAGCATTGGGGCTCCTGGCTAGAGTTTAAAAATTGCTTCCCTTGCTCACATGACTAACTGGAAATTTCGACTGGGGGTGTTAAACTTGGTTACATGAGTAGACCGCTACCTAGTGGTATTGCTGAATCCTTCAGTGTTTCTCTTCTGCTTCCCTGCCCTTCCCCCAAAGGAGTTTTGTGAACTGCTACATTGCCCTCCCCCTTCCCCTAGTTCTTTTGAGCTCATACTCTAGAAAGAAGCGATGCGAACCAGGAGGAAGAACAGAGGCTTTGAGATCAGAGAGTTCTGCTACATACTAGCAAATTATTTAATCTCTCTGAGCATCAATTTCTTATCTGTCAAATGGAAACAGTAGCTACTTTGCATGGCTGCTCTGGGGATTGGAGGTAATATAAGTGCTTAGTACAGCACTGGAAATATAGTAATGGTAGCTATTATTATTAAAAGTGGAATTTCTGTATATTTTGTCTAGCCTCCATATTAATGCCTTTAAGACCGAGAAAATTAACTTTTTGATATTAATATAAACTAGTTACTCTGAAAACTGAATACTGCTGAGTAAAGTGAAGTGATATAGAAGACATAGAAACATGTTTATATTTATGAAATTTATTCAAGGTTATCATGTACCCAGTTTTCAAAGAGTCAGCTTTTCAAAATTTGTTATGAAAATTGTCAGTCCCACACTCTCCCTTTCTTCTTATTCAGAGGCAGTCACTTTCACCTGTGCTCATTCTTTAGGCATTTAACAGTTCTCTAAATAACATGCTTGGATTGGTACTTGTTGATTTTTCAGTTTCAAGCATAATCTACTGACTCCCAACCATAGAAGGTGAAGATTTAGCTTTCTTCTTCCCAACTATGTGTTGCTGAAGTATGCTTCCTGTCTTCCTCCTCTATCAAAACTGGTTATAGTTTCATTTAAATCAATATTCAGTGTTTACTTTGCACAGGTACACTTTATTTTATTGTACATCTCTTTCTTTATGGATCCTGCATCCTTTATAAGTTGAGGATCCGTGGCATCCCTGCATTGAGCAAGTCTATTGGCACCATTGTTTCAATAGCCATTGCTCACTTCATGTTCCTGTGTCACTTCATGTCCCTGTGCCACATTTTGGTAACTTTTGCAACATTTCAAACTTTTTCATTATTATAACGTTGGTTATGGTGATTTTTGATGTTACTAGTGTGATTGTTTTGGGGTGCCATGAACCGCACTGTATGACAGTGAACTTAATTGCCAATCATGTGTTCTGACTGCTCTACCAACCAGACATTACTCCATTTCTCTCTCTCACGTTGGGTCTCCCTATTCCCGAGACACAATAATATTGAAATGAGGCCCATTAACGTCCCTACAGTGGCTTGTAAGTGTTTAAGTGAAAGGAAGAGTCACATCACATGTCTTTCATTTAAATTTGAAAGCTAGAAATGACTAAGCTTAGAGAGGAAGACATTGTGAAAGCAGATAGGCTGAATGTTAGGCCTTATGTTGTGGCTCAGATGATCATTAGCATTATTTAGCAACAAAGTATTTCTTTGTTGCTAAAGTCTCAGATGACCATTAGCATTATTTAGCAACAGAGTATTTCTAAATTAAGGTATATCCATTAGGTTTTCTTAGACATAACAGTATTATGCACTAAATAGGCCACCTTGTAGTGTAAACATAAATTTTATATGCACTAAGAAACCAAAAATTCGTGTGATTTGGTTTTCTGTAATACTTACTTCATTGCCGCGGTCTGGAATGGAACCTGTAATGTATCTCTGAGGTATGCCTGTAAACGCCATTTACAGCAGTGGAGCCCTGTAGAAAATTAAGATTACTTTTCTTATTCTGCATAACTTTTGGTCTTCTCTGAAGATAATTGCCTTTTTAATAAAGTTTGTTTGCTTGGTTTTCTATTACTTAACACTAATCCAACCCTCAAATCTTTATCAAATCTTCTATGAATAAATGTATCTGCATCAAGTATTCTATATCTTTCTGAGAAAGCCTTTTCAGGGCCTTCCAACCTGCCCCAGTCTGGCTTGACATCACAGACAGCTGTTGTCCCGGATTCTCACATTGTCACCATGCTGGGGATTCCCTTTGTGTCTGTCCTAGGGTGGTTCTCCTACTTCCTGCATCAAAGGCATTTCTCTTTCTCAATTTGTCCAGTTCTGGGAAAGTAAATCTCCAGTAACTTCCTGAGAAATAGGTACACTGAAGATAATTTTTGGAGAACCTACAAAACTGAAAACATCTTCATTCTAACTTGACCTATTCAAATATGATATTTAGTCTGAATATAAAATTTTAGGTTAAAAATAATTTTCCTTTATAATTTTGAAGGTTTTGTCCCATTATATCTAGCTTTCTTGTTTTGTTGAGAAGTTTACATTTTTTCTGCTTCCTAGCCTGCACAATGATCTCCTTTCTTGTCATCCTTTCAGCTTTATGCCTTAAAAAATAAATTGTTTTGGTGGTTTTAAGAGGAAGCAAAATCAAATGTATATCCAGTTTGCCATTTTTAACTGGAGGTCTAAAATATTTCTTTGTTGTTCTTTTTTGTGTGTGTGCCTCTTTTGAAACAGGGTCTGTCTCCTAGGCTGGAGTGCAGTGGCAGGATCACAGCTGGATGCACCCTCAACCTCTTGTGCACAGGAGATCCTTCCACCTCCGCCTCCTGAGTAGCTGGGACTACAGGTGCACGCCACTATGCCTGGCTACATTTTGTATTTTTTTTTTTTTTTTTTTTTAGAGATAGGGTTTTGCCATGTTGCCCAGGCTGGTCTGACACTCCTGGGCTCAAGTGATTCACCTGCCTTGGCCTCCCAGAGTGCTGGGATTACAGGGATGAGCCACCACGCCTGGCCTCTTTCTTATTCATTATCTTCCCTTTTCTCTTCTTTGTTTTCACTCCAAGAGGGTTACTTTTTACAGTCTCTTTCACTGGTTCTCTGGCAATCTAGCTGGCCTATAGTTGAGCTTGTTGCTTTTATCAAACTTCTCATTTCCTCTTAATTGCCTACCATCAAAATTGCCATTGTTTTTGGCAGTACCCTTAACCTTGAACTTTGCCACACTCTGTTCCAAATAAGTCAGTTTATTTGAGGACAGCTTCAGAGCTCTCTGTTCGTAAGCCATGACTCTCCCCTGGGCAACAACATATCTGAGCCACTGCTCTGGAGCTGGGGTTGGTGACAGTGGCTTACTTCTTCTGGAGTGACCTATCTGCTTTTTGGGCATGGTGCTGAGTTGGGTAGTCACCTCTGGTCTTTTCAACTTCAACTGGACTTTCCTGGCATGGAACCTCCACCCTATGAAGTAGCTGGAGAAAAGGTGACCAGGAATCCAGTATTCCCAACCCATAGAATCTTTGCCTTATTGTTGGGTGGAGGAAGGGAGTCCCTGACCTCTTGGTCACAGTGATCTCAAATGTTGTCCCTGCTGCACAGAGGTAGGGAGGTGAGAAACACTGGCAGCCTTCTCCTCCTAGGGGAGATACCATAGCCCTTGACTGGGAGCTAGAGGGGCGGTGATCCCAGTGTTCTTTGCCATATCCTCCCACAGTGGAGTTTCCCTTCTGCCGAAACATAGGGGAAGGAAAGGAGTGGGCCATGGCTAAGTACCGCAGACTGTCACTTTTCTTACAGGAATTTAGTAAATTTTCTTGAATAAATATGTCTTTATTTGATGAATGTCTTTAGGACAATTGTCAGAGACTTTAAATGGGTCTTTCTAAAAATGATTTCTACCAGGTTCCCCCTCAGCCCCCCACTGGGAAGTGTGTGAGAAGCTCTCAGCGTGCTGTTTTAGAGCTGCATCTCTGCCCATTGTTTCTTCTATATTAAACACTTCATTTCTTAGAGTGATTTAAGGTTCACAGGAAAATTGAGAGGATGGTACAGAGATTTCTCATGTAATTCATACACATACCCAAGGTCATCTAGTTTTTCCTATGTTATCTTCTAGATTTATAGTATTGCGTTTTACATTTAGGTCTATGATCCATTTTGAGTTAATTTTTGTGAAGGCAGTAAGGTCTGTGTCTGAATTTATTTGTTTGTTTATCCATCTGTTTGTTTTTGCAGTATGTGGATGTCCAATTGTTCCGGCACCATTTGTTCAAAGGACTATCTTTGTTCTATTGTATTGCCTTTGCTCCATGTTAAAGATGAGTTGACTATGTTTATATGGATCTGTTTCTGGTCTCTCTATTCTGTTCATTGATCTGTCTGTTCTTTTGCCAATAACACACTGTATTGATTATTGTACCTCTATAGTAAGTCCATTTTTAGAATTTTCTTTTTATTTATTTTTGTAGAAACAGCATCTTACTAGTTGCCCAGGCTGATTTTAAGCTCCTGGCCTCAAGTGAACATCCTGCCTTGGCCTCTGGAAGTGCTGGGATTACCGGCATGAGCCACCACACCCAGTCTGTAGTAAGTCTTAAAGGCGTGTCGTGTCAGTCCTTGTTCTTCTTCAGTACTGTGTTGGCTGTTGTGGGTCTTATTGCCTCTCTATATGAACTTTAGAATTAGTTTGTTTCTATCCACAAAATAACTGGCTGGGATTTTTAATTGAAATTGATCTATAGATCAAGTTGGAAAGAACTGACTTCTTGACAATATTGAGTCTTCCTATCTATGAACATGTACTATCTTTCCATTTAGTTATTCTTTATTATTATTATTTTTTAATCAGAGTTTTATAGTCTTTCCCGTATATCTTGACATATACTTAAGTATTTCCTTTTTCTTTTTTGGTGCTAATGTCAATGGTAATGTGTTTTTAATTTCAAACTCCTATTGTTCATTGCTGGCATATAAGAAAACAATTGACTTTTGTATATTAACC